ATTTGTTGGCCGTCTGAATGTCTTCTTTGGTTAAATGCCTGTTCATGCCCTCTGCTCATTTTAAAATTGGATTATATGTCTATATGTTGTTGAGATGTTGAAGTTTTCTATAAATTTTAGAGATGAGTATGTTGTCCAATATCTCACTGCCAAAACATTTTTCCCAGTTCTGTGAGTTCTCTTTTTGCTCTTTTGGTGAAATCTTTTGATGCACATAAAATTATCAGGAGGTCCCAGTCATTTAGTTTACCTTCTGCTATTTGTATGTTTTCAGTTATGTTTGATAGTGTATTTATACTATGTCTTTGTTGTTGTTGTTGTTGTTAACTGCTATCAAGTCAGTTCCAACCCATAGTGACCCTGTATAGGAGTGGCTGATGAGCTTGAACTGCCGACCTTGCAGTTCAAACTGACTTTGCAGTACAGCGCATTAACCCACAGTGCCACACCAGACTCCATGCTATGTCTTAAAGGCCTCTAAATTTGTCCCTATTTTTGCATTGATAGTTTATAAAGTTTTAGGTTTCATGTTTAGGTCTTTGATCCATCTTGAGTTCCGTTTTGTATATGGTATGAAATATGGGGCCTATTTCATTTTCCTGTAAATGGATATCCTGTTTTGCCAGCACCAGTTGTTAAAGGGACCATTTAACAATTCTTGACCCTTTGTCAAAGGTTAGTTGTCCAAAGGTGGATGGATTTACTTCTAGGTTCTCAATTCTGTTCCATTGGTCTATGTGTCTGTTGTTATGCTAGTACCAAGCTGTTTTGACTTCTGTGACTGTGTAGCAGATTTTCAGGTCAAGATGTGTGAAGCCTCCTTCATAGAGCCTCTTACAAATGTACCTCATGTTGAGAAGTCAACTTTTTTGTTTTTAGGCTAACAAGTTATCGGTACAACAGATACAATTAATTTACCTGGAAGATACTTTCTCATTTCCCAGGATCTTTTTCTTAGTATCCTCCACTGCTCCTTTAGTCCTACACCAAAGATGAGCCCAAAGTATTTATGAAAATATTAATTTTAATATTTCTGAAAATGCTTTGTTCTATAAGTAACTCAAGAAAAAGATTCTGGAAAACAAATAAGTGATACAAGCAGACTTAAGAGATTTTGAGGGTTCCATTCCAGACCAACACAATAAAAAGAATTTAACAATAAAGCAAGCCACAAAATTTTTTTGGTTTCCTAGTGCACACAAACCAGACATAAGACCAAACGGCCACCACTCGTCTGTCTGTCGTGCTGTGGTGGTTTGAGTTGCTGTGATTCTGAGGGCTATGCCACTGGTGTTTTAAGTAACCAGCAGGGTCACTCATGGTGGAAAGGTTTCAGATGAGCTACAAAACAAAGACAGACTAGGAAGAAAGAGTGACAAACTACTTCCGAATCGCTAGTCACTGAAAACTCTATGCATAGCAGAGAAACATTGTCACATATAGGA